GCGTGGCTAACATATTTTTTTAGGTTAAATATTTGAATTAGTCCCTCGACTTTTAATTTTGAACCAATTCATCCTTAAACTTTAGAAAGTACCAAAAACGTCCTTCAACTTCAATTTTCAATTCCGTCTTTCCGTCAATTAAATGTTGATGTAGCTAATTTTTTTGCTAAGTGATTGACTATTTTACATGTTCAATATTAGGTGGAAAATCCATCATGTAAAAGATGATTATGTGGATTTTTTAAATTTTAAATAATTTACAAACTATTTTAATTCTTAATTTTACTTTATTTATACTTAAAAATTAAAACAATTAATCTATTTTCCCATTTAATTAGTCCCACCTACCATTTAATAAAATTTAATTAATAATTTTATTAATTGAAAATTGAAGTTGAAGGACGTTTTTGGCACTTTCTGAAGTTCAAGGATGAATTGGTTCAAAAATAAAAGTTGAGGGACCAATTTAGGTATTTAACCTAAAAAATATGTTAGCCATGTCAACATCATTATTCAATTAATCCTTAAATAGAAAAAGTTGAAAGTTGACATCCTTAAATAGAAAATGTTGAAAGTTGATATCTTAATTTAGAAACTGACAAAATTAACATCCTTATTTTAAAAAAAATTGAAAGTTGACATCCTTATTTAAAAACTAATAAAGTTAATATCCTTAAATAGAAAAAAGTTTGGAATCCTTATTTGCACCTTTACTCGCCTCTTGGATTTATTTGCTACTAGACCTGGTAAAAATTCACCTGATCTGTCAATTCGACCTTAACCCGACTTGTAAAAAACAGGTTAGGGTCTACATGTTTCAGCCGTAACTCGTAGATAACTCGTATTATCAACCTGTACGGGTCACTGGTCAGCTTAGGTTCAACCCACGAGTTGACGGGTTGACCCGTTTGTTTTATTTTTTATTATTATTTTTAAATGTTATACTTATTATCCTTAATTAATTTTCTTATTGGTAACTCCTTCCATTAATTCATCTCTCTAATTTCTAGAGAAAGAAGAAGAAATTATGATAAGTTTGATCTAATTACCCAAGTATCATTTTTTTTTT